TGCAATGTGGGCATTTGTAAGGTCTTCTGCCAGAGTGGACAGTTCTCATGTGGGAATCATTCCAGTTTTTCAATATACAACCTTTCCACAAATGGGGCATGGAATTCTGCATGCGGTTTTGCTGATGAAGTTCCATATGACGTTTAAGATTTTTTGACATCTTACCACATTCAGGACAAGGTTCTCCATCTTCATTCTCACCCATTGTTGACACTTTCATGATTCTTTCTCTCCATTTAGCATTTCTCATTTCTTCTTCAAAATCAGGTTCATCTTTATGCTTGGTTTTGATATGTTTAACTAACCCTATAAATGCCTTGTCACAGAATGGACACTTCAAAGCCTCTTCTGCATTTCTCTTGAAAGAACGTCTCCTGTTTTCAGTATCCTCAAACAAACCTAAACCGTCATCTTTAAAACGACGTTTACGTGGAGAATCATCCATATCCCATTCTTCACCTTCAATACCTTAGAGGACCCAAATTTTCTTTTTTCAATCTTGGATCAAGTTTGGTCTTATACAGTCCTTTTACCTGGAGATTCACTGAAGGTTACTAGGACTTCTACAAAGTTCTCAAGCTCGGGTGTTTCAATAGGGGTTTGAGTAGAAAATGTTTTCATTGCAGGTACAGGAGTTGCTGCTACTGGCTTGAGCTCAATAGTTTCTCCCTGGTTAGAAGTTGATGGCTGGGGATCATGGTCTACATCTTCAAAACTGTACGGGTCATTATTCAGTTCCCTGATGGTCCCTTCTTATTACAGCTTGTTCATATTCCTCATCTTCCTCCATTTCCTCCTCCTCATCAAATTCTTCAAGCTCTTCCTCCTCTTCTTCATCAACATCTTCATTAACATCCCTCATTTCCATTTGTCCTCTCATTTTCTTTGCAGGAGAAGAGTATTCTATTCCAAACATTTCAGCTCGTTTTCTTTCTATCAAAGGGTTCTCAAATTCTTCATCTTCATCTTCTTCCAATTCTTCTATTTCCTCCTCATCCTCCTCCTCACTTTCTTCAACTTTTTTTGATTTTCTTTTAGGTGTACCTTTTTGCACAGGTGTTGCCGATTTAGATGGCCTACCTCTTTTTCTAGGCGATATCTCTTCTTCCTCAACTTCTTCTAACTCCTCATCATCTATATCCTCCTTTACAATCTTCTTTCCCCGTCCTCTACCTTTTTTTGGAGATGGGGTTGGGGTTTCTTCAACATCTTCATCAGTATTCTTCCTGCCTCTCCCTCTTCCTCTCCCTTTTGGAGTAGGTGTTGATTTAGCATCCTCTGTAACTTTCTTTGCTCTTCCTCTACCCTTCTTTACAGGTGTTTCTTCTTCAATTTCTTCCTCTTTTATATCTTCTTCCATTTCTTCAGCTGCCTCCTTAATTGCCTTACTTGATTTACCAGGTGTGTCAACAGATCCTCTTGTACGTTTGGGATACAGTTTCTTGTCATCATCTTCTACAATTTCTTCAGCTGATTTAGACACTTTTGCTGGTCTTCCTCTTCTTGGTGTAACCTTTTCCTCAGTCTCATCAGATTTGCCAGAGGACTGTCTTGCTCTCCTTCCACGTCCCCTTGTTTCTTTAGCAGGAGCCTCAGCTTCAATCACAGGAGCATCCTCATCTTGGTTTACATCATTCTCATTAACTTCCTTCTCCTCCTCTAAAACTGGAGGAGACATTGACTTATCCTTAACAGCATTGCCAGAATCACCCTCTGAAACAGTATTGATTTGACCCCCAGTATTTATAATATCAGTTGATACTTTGACAACGGGTTCAATGCCAGCAACAAGCTGTTTGCTTTCATTAACCTGATCTCCTCCAAGAGGTATGTATTTCTCAGCAACTATAGCAGGCTCTGTCACAGGGACTTGGTCAAAGTCAGCAATTACCTGGGATGAACTGTTGTCATTGGCAACCTGAAATGAATATGACATGGAACTTAAGTTATGCTCCGGAAACGAAATTGCTAATGGACGGACGTTCTCACAGGACAGTAATTATGTGGCTACTCTATTGTTCTCTCTATTGTTCTTTTTAGCCACACAAAAGAAAATAGCCACATAAAAGCATTACGGAATGAACGACATCAAAGAGAAAGAACAGTTACCTACTGTCCCTCTAGCCACATAATTACTCTCCTGTGAGTGTGGACATACAGACAGACAGACACAAGGGGGTATAACATAATATGCCCTTTTGGGCATATAAAAACATTCAAAGATATGTTATGCCTTAAATTTATTTCACAGCATATTATTCTTGATTCTTCATGACATGCAGTACCCCACCCTTATTACTCTGTTGACTTATCATATGTTAATATTAGAGAAACAAGATAAATTTAAGCTGAATTACCAAGTGCCACCCTGGTATTAGTCAGTGGTAATAGCATCTTCTTGGAAATAAATCTATATGACTACGTAATCATTGGAATCTTAGCTTGTTATTTGTATCACGTGAAAAACATGATGTAAAAACAGAATCAAACTTAAAGTGAACAGACCAAGACATTAAAGTCTGCAAGTTTAGATCATTCTTATTATGAATTAAAGAACTTTTCTTCTTAATTAATTGCATTTAAAATTCAGTCAGAAAACTGTTGAACCTAAAAAAAAATTAAAAATATTGTGTTGATGTAAATCAAATGCTTAAATAAACTTCATTGAGCAACTAGTAGTTCATTAAATATCATCATAGCCACTTTCAAATACACATTTGTTTATTTTCAGTGCCATATACATGTATATTTTATATGCATGTACATATAAAGGTGTACATGTATATTTTGTGAAATAAAATTAGAAAAAAAAAACAATGATATAACTCGATTTGATGATCACTTCTCCCTAAATTTCAAGACTTCTCCCTATTTTACCTGAAGGGAGAAGTCACTTCTCCCTAAATTTTCAGTCCAAGGTAGTCCCAGTGTACTAAAATTTTCTACCATTGATGGTGATAATTTAACTAAGTAGTCAGTAAACAGGAAGTGGATGAGCAATTGACCTGAAATCAAATCCCACAGTATGGGACCAGGTGTTATTGCTGAATACCAAATAACAAGGTTGTGGTAAGTAGTTGCTGAAAAACTGTTACAAAAATTTAATACCATTGACCATTAATGATGGAAATTTAACAAAGTCTGTTAACAGGAAGTGCATGAGCGAAAGACCTGAAATTGTCTCCCACAGTATGGGACCATGTGTTAATGCTGTATACCTATTATCAAGAGGCTGTGATAAGTACTTGCTGAGAAAACTGTTACGAAAATCGAAGTCGACAAACAGGAAGTGGATGAGCCACAGACCTGAAAGCGAATCCCACGGTAAGGGACTATGGGTTAATGCTGTATTCCAAATATAAAGAGGCTGTGATAAGTAGTTGCTGAGAAAACTGAGAAAAAAATTTTCCTCGCCCATCCAACATTCACCATCCTATAACCCGGGTTTGCACCTGAGCAACCAAGCCAAAAATTTTTTGATGAATTGAAAAGTTGTGGTCTAGATACAAAATAGGCTCTTTTAACAGACCGTGTTTAGCTTTGACCTTTAAGTGTGACATTGGGTCTGGGTTTTGTCAATGACACATCCTTTTATTTTTGTAAACATTTGTGTCAAATTATTTCTAAATCCCTAGATGGATGAAAAAGTTATTGACCAGACATGCAATAAACATTATATCAGGTAATGTTGAACTTTGATCTCCAATTGTGACCTCGACTTGAAGGTTTGGGTCTGGGTGTTGCACATGACACATTATTTTTCACAATCCCTTGATGAACGGCTGAGCTATGGACTGGACAAGAAGTGAGACTGACAGATAGATTGGCAGAGGGAGAATTTCTATACCCTGCAGTTTCCTCTAAAAAGCAGTGGAAAATTAGGCAAAGCATGAATATAGATCCCCATTTTTCCAAGAAGGGCATGACTGAAAAAAACATTTGTAGAGATAAGCAAGATGGTTTAACAGTCTGTGAAGTTTGGTCAAAATTTACCTTGGGATTTAGATGTTTTAAGAAGTTTGTGGATAATGATGACAGACTTAATGCCATTACAAAAGCTCAGTTTGGAGCATTTTTTGCTCCAAGAGCTAACAACAATCTGAACTTCGCTTAGGACAGTCTCACAATTTCTTTATCATGTATAACCAAAAATGTCTTAATTCAATTTAAATGTTAAATAACTTACATTGCCTGCTGCAAGTGTCTGAGTCTGGCCACCATCATTACCAGTATATGCTGAAACAGACAATTAAAAAATGTCTTATCTGTTGGCTTGTGTTTTATTTTTCAGGCACTACATATCATGCACAGTACTATGCCTCACAGTGCCAAGCTATCAGACTTTACAAAATGAGTTTGACTGTCAGACATGACCAATAAACAAGAGGGCCCTGAATCGCTCACCTGAGAAATAGGTAAAAAGGTTTAAGTGGAAACCCTTTCACATCAGAAGAAATAGCAAAAATTAAAACATCACGAAACAAGAGGGCCATGATGGCCCTGAAGTCGCTCACCTGTATATAGCTCCTGCCCTCCCCCCCCCCCCCGGCCGGGCCGATTTTAACCCAAGGGCTTTTATTTGAACAAACTTGGTAGACACCCATAAGAAGATGTTTCATGCTAAACATCTAAGCTCTAGCTCATTGGGTTTCTTAAAAGCAGATTTTTTAAGTTTTTACACATATAGTTAATAAATGAAACCCCTGGGGCGGGGCCAGTTTTGACCCCAGGGCTTTTATTTGAACAAACTTTGTAGACACTTTCTAGAAGATGTTTCATGCTTAATACCTAAACTCTAGCTATTTGGGTTTTTTCAAAGAAGATTTTCAAGTTTTTACTATACACATATAAGGAAAATCAATGACCCCCGGGGCGGAGCCAATTTTGACCCCAGGGCTTTTATTTGAACATACTTGGTAGACACCCATTAGAACATGTTTCCTGCTAAATATCTTAGCTCTAGCTCTTTGAGTTCTTAAAAAGAAGATTTTTTAAGATTTTACTATATGCATATAAGGAAAATCAATGACCCCCTGGGGCAGGGCCAATTTTTACCCCAGGGCTTTTATTTGAACAAACTTGGTAGACACTCATTAGAAGATGTTTCATGCTAAATATCTTAGCTCTAACTCTTTGGGTTCTTTAAAAGAAGATTTTTTAAGGTTTTACTATATACATAAAGGGAAAATCAATCACCCCCTGGGGCGGGGCCAATTTTGACCCCAGGGCTTTTATTTGAACAAACTTTGTAGACACTTACTAGAAGATGTTTCATGCCAAATATCTAAACTCTAGCTATTTGGGTTTTTTCAAAGAAGAATTTTAAGTTTTTGATATACACATATAAGGCAAATCAAGCTATTTAGATATTTTCAAAGAATACTTTTTAAGTTTTTGCTATACACATATATAAAGGAAATCAATGATCCCCGGGCGGGGCCAATTTTGACCCCAGGGCTTTTATTTGAACAAACTTGGTAGACACCCATTAGAACATGTTTCATGCTAAATATCTTAGCTCTAGCTCTTTGTGTTCTTTAAAAGAAGATTTTTTAAGTTTTTACTATATGCATATAGAGAAAATCATTGACCCCCTGGGGCAGGGCCAATTTTTACCTCGGGGCTTTTATTTGAACAAACTTCGTAGCCACTCATTAGAAGATGTTTCATGCTAAATATCTTAGCTCTAGCTCTTTGGGATCTTTAAAAGAAGATTTTTTAAGTTTTTACTATATGCATATAGGGAAAATCAATGACCCCCTGGGGCGGGGCCAATTTTGACCCCAGGGCTTTTATTTGAACAAACTTGGTAGACACTCACTAGAAGATGTTTCATGCCAAATATCTAAGCTCTAGCTCTTACAGTTTTTTAAAAGAAGATATTTAAAGTTTTTTTCTTTCGGTTGCCATGGCAACCAGAGTTCTGCATGGAATTAAATTCTTTGAACAATTTTTAAAGGTGACCACCAAAGGAACATTCCTGTGAAGTTTGGATGAAATTGGCTTAGTGGTTTATGAGGAGATGTCATTTAAAGTAAAAGTTTACGGAAGGACAGACGCCGGACGGACGCCGGACGAAAAGCGATCACAAAAGCTCATCCTGTCACTTTGTGACAGGTGAGCTAAAAATACAGGATTTACAGTACATATAAGGAAAATCAATGACCCCTGGGGCTGGACCAAATTTGACCCTTGGGCTTTTATTTGAACAAACTTGGTAGGCATCCACATGCAAAATATCTAAGCTCTAGCTCTTTTGGATTTTCACAAGAAGAGTTTTAAGTTTTAACTATATATACATGTATATATAAGACAAATTAGGGCGGGGCTAATTTTGACCCTAAGGCTTTTATTTGAACACACTTTGTAGAGACCCATTTGAAGATGTTTCATGCTTAATATCTAGGCCTTTGCTCTTTGGGTTTTTTTAAGTTTTTACTGTAGACATGTAAGGAAAATCAGACCCCCTGGGGCAGGGCCAATTTTGATCTTGATCTGAAGGATTTTATTTGAACAAACTTGATAGACACTCACTAGAAGATGTTTCATGCCAAATATCTAAGCTCTAGCTATTTGGGTTTTTTTTTTTTAAAGAAGATATTTTAAGTTTTTACTATATACATATTATAAAGAAAAGCAATGACCCCAAGGGGCGGGGCCAATTTTGACCTTAGGGCTTTTATTTGAGCAAACTTGATAGACACTCACTAGAAGATGTTTCATGCCAAATATATAAGCGGTACCTCTTCAAGTTTTTTAAAAGAAGATATTTTTAGTTTTTTCTTTTGGTTGCCATGGCAACCAGAGCTCTGCATGGAATTATATTCTTTGAACTGCAGGGCCTTTTTACCCTTCTTTGCTGTAGCCTGTATCAGGCTACTTCCCCAAGCCAAATTACTACCTTTTTCCCCAAAAAACAGACTAAAATTCCCCTTCTGGCAAATATTCCCCCTTTAACTGAATAATAAAACTTGTTAACAAACTTTCTTGTTTAAAAATAGTTAATTGTTTTGTCCAATGAAAGCTAATAATTCAATAACCCATTATAGGGATACTTTGATTTAATAAAATTGATGTTAACTCAGAAAAAGAAGAAAATACGATTGAGTGACGTTTGTAATTGGTTATTAAAAATTGGATGAATTGATGACCTTTTTAGTGCAACAGAATCCAATACATGTATCCCCTAGCAAGCCCATGTGTCCGAGTAGCACAACATGCCCAACTGTCGGAAATAGCGAGCCTAGCACATCAGTACCAGTAATACTTTGTAAACTGATAATAATGTACCCTCTGAATCAAACCAAGAACCCTCACATGACCAACGTAAAATACTATAAATAGGAAATATGAGTTAATATAAAGGGGCAGGAAATTGATCTGTAAAAAATGTCTTTTACATCTGTTTGACAGAAAGCTTAGTACTATAGTAAACCTTTAATGTGATTGGAGGAAGATATGCAAATAAATCATGATATTCCCCCGAAATGTGTGAAAATATATTTTCCCCAAAAGTGTGAAAATCGCACATTTTTTCCCCACAAAAAAGGGCTAAGGCGCCTTCCCCAAAACTAGTGAAAAGGCCCTGGAACTCAGTGTTCCCACTTACATTTTTCATTTGGGGTAGTTTTACCCCTTACCTTTGAAAACTGGGGGTAAAATAAAATTTCAGGGGGTACATAAATTTGTACAATAATTATATGAAATAAAAGAATAATTCCAAATCCATACATCAGACAATTATGCTGCTGTTTTCTTCACGATTCCCTCCAACCCCCTAGTGGTGCAACGATATACCGGTATATCGGGTCGATACGTACCGCGGTGCAGCTGCCCTGTATTGCGGTTTTTTCTTTAATATTTATGCCGAAATAACATGAATGTAGAAACTTCAATTTTGAATCAGTAAGCAACGATTTACGACATCAAAAACAAAACATCAATGAAACATGAAAAGATTGCCGACACTAGTCGATCCCTGTGATGTATAAAGAAACGCCGCCGCGAACTTTTCCTGACGAAGCTCTTTGATCTTACCGTGCGAGAAGCAGAATCGTGTGACGTCATTTTCAGAGTGCGGCTTTGATCACGCTTTATTAAATTACACACAGTTACGCAATTTAAGTTAGGACTGATAAAAATTGTTGATTAACTGAAATAAAAAAATGGAAAAAGAAGATTTTGAACTAATTGAAAATGAGAAAGCTAAAAGTAAAAAATGGGTGGAGTTCAACTTAAAAAAAAGAAAATCTACAGGAAAAATTGAGGACGGCATAGCCGTTTGTAAAAAATGTAAGATGGATATTCGCTAAAGCGGAGGGACCACAAATCTAAATACACATTTGACTCGACACCACAAAATCAAGCTGCAACAAGGTGCATGCAAGTCTGGTACTAGTTTGATCGCGGCAACAGCGTCAACCGTAAAGCAGCCGACAATTATGAGTTCTTTTGGGCAGACTTCCAAATACAAGCCTATAAGGGTGTAACGGTTTACCGGTATACCGATATATTGCAATATGAAAAAATAAATTTCGTACCGCGGTACGATTTTTGGAAAACCGGTATTTTATTAAAATCATAATTTTCAATTAATTGCCTTCTAATTTTGTACAAATTTCACATAAAATCTTTAATTGGCCAATTTTGTTGGCGCCAACGTAAGATAAAAGTATCCGACAACTAGTACACTTAGAAGTCAATAAGCGGCCGCATAATTTACATAAGCGGCCCAGATGTGAAAGGTCACACGCGACTAGTTTTGTTTATCAAATTGTGTGACACTTTACTTTCTATTTATTCCTTACATTTTTATTAAGTTTCTACTAAAATTATATACATATGATAATAATATATAAATGTTACTCCATCTTTACATCAAAACATATACAAGACAATACGTATTGCAATATATTGCAATACGCTTCAGCAAAATGGCAATATATTGCAATACGGTTTTTGCTGTATTGTTACACCCCTACAAGCCTACAAGTCAGCGGTATAAGGACATAACGCAAGCCGTCGGAAAATTCATTGTTAATGATCTTCGACCGTTTAGTGTTGTCTCAAATGATGGATTTAAGGATATGATTCGTGTTTTAGACCCTAGATACGACCTACCGTCACGTACGTACTTTTCTGAAACTGTTATACCGAACATGTACAATGAACGCGTGGGGTATGTTAAGTCATGCTTGAAAGTTGTTGACATGTTGATATTTCTTAAGAAAAACATTTAAAAAGCCTCAAGGACACAGGGTACTTATTCATTCTATAGATACATGTATGTGTTCTAAAAGAATAATAAGAAGAGTTGAAATATAGCATTATAGCTTACGTTTTATTGTTTTCTTTAATTATTTTAGTATACACTGTACCACAATACGTATCGCAATACAGGCTGTCTATATCGCAATATATCGCAATACGGGTTTGGCTGTATCGTTGCACCCCTACAACCCCCCACCCTAGTTAAAATTAATTGTGACCAACACATTCTGGCATATATCACCATCTCAATTAATGTAACTATTTTTAAGATATTTTAATTTATAAACAGCATATAAATTGTTACTACACACCTTTGAACAAAACAAAGCTTCCTTTTTGGTGATATTTTTAATTAACAAAATCGGCATCGCGAAAATATGTGACAAATGAAAATGTGTCTGTTTTCTGCAGAAACATTCACAAATCCAGTTGTTGCTGATTACAATTATATAAGAATTAATATTTTTTTAATATTTCAAGATTGTTTTTCATCGGCTATTCTTACAGGCATCGTAAAACAAAAATTTCAAATTTGTAATTTACGGCAATAATGCCAGTGGGGGGTCTGTAAACTTCATTGTGAATTGGGAGAATTTCTCACATTTCATCAATTTCAATGCACTTTAAGTAATTTTTGTTTTAGAAATTGCTCAAAAAAACTAATTTTTGAATTATACATGATTAAGGTTACGACTTTCTGTGCGTATTTTTACCCTCTTGCCAAAATTTCTGTACGTGAATTTTGTTATTTATGCGTAAAATACGCACATATGTGCGTAAATGGGAACACTGAAGGAGCCACCAAAGGAACATTCCTGTGAAGTTTAGATGACATTGACTAAGCAGTTTATGACTAGATGTCATTTGAATTAAAAGTTTACAGACAGACGCCGGACGAAAAGCGATCACAAAAGCTCACCAGGTTACTTTGTGACCGGTGAGTTTAAAATTGTCAAGTTTCAATCCAGTTGTCAGGCATCTTCAAATCTAAGATAAGCCATTTATATTTCTATGGCAATGTTTTTATTACTTTATAATACCACACTTCATTGAACAAAAGTCTGTCTCGCCTTTAAAATAGAGTTTATTAATTAAGCAAAACATCTACATACATAGGATTTAAATACTTGGTGTACACAATTTTTTATCTGCCTTTGACCTCTATAAATGATGTCTACCTTTGTCAAAAGAGACATAACTTTAGTGTATGACACTCTGGCTAACAGTAGCAATCATTGAATTTTGAAGTCTTTTTAAAATAGTCTGAATAAAAGTTCAGTTTAATAATGCAATTACAATATGCAATTCTTCAAGGGCATAAAATATATGAGCCGCGTCACGACAAAACCAACATAGTGCGTTTGCGACCAGCATTGATCCAGACCAGCCTGTGCATCCGTGCAGTCTGATCAGGATCCATGCTGTTCGCTTACCAACTCTATTACAAGTAGAGAAACTGATAGCAAACAGCATGGATCCTGATCAGACTGCGTGGATGCGCAGGCTGGTCTGGATCCATGCCTGTCGCAAACACACTATGTTGGTTTTGTTGTGACGCGGCTCATATTTAAAATGAAGTTAAATGTCTTACCAGGCTGTCCTGATTGTTGACTGAAAAGTTCCTGGCTCCCATTCAGAAAATCACCCTGAAATATAAAACATTTATTATAGGCATTAATAATTAGCTATGCTGATGCATAATATTCAATTCTGATTTTTATAAACTATGGTATTACCTTCCTATAGGTCTGACCACAAATATTAAAGAAAAATTGTTAATACAAAAGATTTCTTCTAATGTTTTAACATTGAAATCAATATTGTTATTCTACAATAGAATTCTGAAACATCATGGGCCTTTTTTGTTAAACATATATAAAGGTTTGGGAAAGATAGTCTGATGTGAAGTGGAGTAATACATTTTCAATGCTGTTAACAAATTTAATAATAACACAACCTAACATATATACATTTATACTGTGTCCTTTCTAGAAATTCAAAAATAGGGGTGAATTTCCCTGTCACTTTAAAGAGTAGGGCCGATTTTGGAAAACAATTGGTGTTTGTTTATATCAAGCTAAGACCAGACTTTTTATACATAATTTGCAAGGTAGCAATCTATATGGCTCTCTGCCGCTGAATTTTCAGGTCTGTTTTGGGGCAATATACTATAGTACTATTGAAATGTGCATCCCTAGAGCCAATGACGACGATGCTTGATTAGCATCAGTTTATATAAGAAATAAATTATTCTTTTCTATGATGTGATTTGTCTGCACTTTGTTGACATTTTTTACATGGAAACGTTCAACTGATGATTTTTATGTTTGAGAAGCTGCATTTTAAATTATTGGTCAAGTTAAGAAAAAGTACCTATTCAATTTCATAATGTTTTAACCTACAGTATGTAAAGTTTAAAATGTAACATATCTTCTCTGTGTATACTCACAATATGTTTACTTTACATTTAAAGAGACTTTATAGAAATTATCAGTATTTTTAAAAATAATCTTAAGCATAATTCAAGTAGATAACACTAAACAGGAAGTTTTACACTTTTTGAGAAAGTTCATCAATTCAGATATGGAATTTTCACACACTTAAATCCCAAAAATATGCAAAAATCTTTGACAAAAAAGCGCAAATCCTGCAATCATTCATCCTATAATAGACACTGCAGATCTTCTTTGAAAATTGTTAACATGATTGACATGAAAAATACAGAATTTTAAAACTGATTGCTGATACTAGTGAATTATCTCAACAACAAGCCCTTACAAATGATCAATATCATGCCTACAATAACAACACAAGTAAGTGATAAAGACCTGATTCTGGGCAGATTGGTCTGCCATGATAACAGGTGGGACTTCGTCTGTTACATGCTGTATACTTCCATATGCATCACCTGAAATAATGAGAAAATAATCCGTCAGTTTATTGCAGTTGTAAATGAAATTGAATTCTGCTTATTCCTTAAATTTTCTTTTTTGGAGCAGAAAGAAGGTTATTTCACACAGTGGGACTTACCACCTCTTAATATAGGAACATTTACAATGTTTAGTATTTCTGGAAGATTATTATAAATTTTTTAAAACAATAAAAAATAGCAATATACTATTTTTATATACACATATATATACAATCATTTCATGATTACAATGTTATAATATATTTACATTATATTATATACTATATATTCATGAATTATTTTTTCTGCTTTAAGTTCCACCTCTACATTTCTCAGCAGGAAAATGTCTCTCCAAGGGCACTGGTGCTTCTTTTAATATAAATTAAGTAAGTATTTAACAAAATATCTGCTTGTCATTTACTTACCTTGTCCTTGGTAAAGCACTGCCCCATTATCTGCATATTGAGCACTAACTACTTTACTTTCTGTGACAATAGGCAGCACATTCGACGCTTCCATTTTCACCCTGAAAATGGATTTTATAATTCATTATCTTTAAATATGCATATATGAACAGTGTTTCTTCATTATTTTTTGGGGGATCATCTTTCATTTATTATGTTTCTGTATATTTTTTTCATAGTATCATATAGCAGTCTTCGACTTAGCCCACTCAACCGACGACTGAGCCGAGTAAATTTGCGGGTGGTCGAGTGAAAATTCCAAGCTGGTAGCCCGTCTGGTCGAGGGCTTTTTTCATATCCAAATTAAGAAAATGTTGGAAATATGCAGAGCTCCAGATAGCTATGTTTTGGCTTTATGAAAATACAATACAGTTCTGCTGAATTAGATGGAAAACTAAAAGCACTATTGTCAACTTTGCTGTACGTTGAAAACGAAAGTAGCAGGAAGTGACATCGAGTACAAAGGGAAGGTAACTCTTGGGAGTTTCTGAAATGAAATTATTGATAAAGTTTAAAATTTGGTGTAATCATCATAGGACTTAACCTAATATTCAATTTGTTTAGACATATATTAAAATGTTTTTTCTACAAAATATGTTGTACTTGCCACTTTAGCTATTGGAAAACATATCCCTTGCCATCTGCAGTTTTGTACTCAATATTTTCGTACCAAGTTTACAGTTACGGACAATTTCCTCAAAGGCTAATTCTTTGTGTATAAAAGTTTTAATTCTATTATATTTATTTTTCATTAATTCTAATTTCAAAAATAAATATCAAAACCAAAGAGCGGCACTAAAATGTAGTCTGTAGAAATAAAGTATGAATAAAGCCTCATGCTGACCATGTAGCTGATTGTAAAAGAATGTGACACATTCAAACAACAGCATGTCAGCAACAAAAAATGAGTCTTTTCATTAATTTGCTGTGTATCCTAAACAAACCCTAGTCTAGGGAATCCTGCCTTAACAGAGCAAGTTTTGTATTATTTCACATTGAATGAATATTTTATTATAAGTCAGTCTGATTTATGTAAAGAAAGGAACTTTTTAGAAGGCAATGAAATTTGATAACAAAACAATGCAATTTCTTTTTATAAATTTTACCCCAGAATTTTCATTTTACTCTAGATTTTGATGGGTAAACCACCTTGGCCCTAAAAATTATTTGCAGCTTTATTGACCTTAAAACGCTTATTAAATATTGATTGTTAGAAATTTATTAGGCGTCATCTCACACTTCACAATATGTCTTTTCTCTTGTATTTTGAAGGCACTAAGCCAAAAAGGAACTCCCCAAAAAAATATATGATAAAAGTAATACGAAAAGGAATATAAATATGTTGTCAATGCATGTATCAGCCGACATGGTCACAGTAAACGAGGAGAAGAGTATTTTCAGTTTTTAAACAATTTTTTTCAGTGTCTGTGGACAATGCCACAGAAATATCAAAATATCTTCTTTTCATATGTAGTTTAAACTCTTCTTATTTAAATAATGAAAGGAAGAAAAGTTGATTTGTTGATATTTTAATAATGTTAAATGGTATATAAAACATATAGAAAGTGTTATTTTTGTACAAAATGTATGCAAAAAATACCATTTTGGTTTGGGCTAGTTAAAATGTGTTTGGGCTAGTGAAATTTGTAAGCTGCTAGCCCGACTGGGCTAGTGCTGATAAAAAATTAAGGCGAAGACTGATATAATTGAGTCTGATAATTCATATTTGCTAAATATTTTTATTTATAATTATGGCAATATCATACCCACTAAAAAAATTAGCTTTTAGAGTCCGGGCCGGGAAAAAATCATCAGGGCTGGAAATAAATCTAAGGATCCCAGTCCTTGTGGCTGGGAAAAAATTTTGACTTTCGCATTGACTGGACTTAATCTCTGATATTGGAAGTCACATTATATAGGTAAAGAAGAAAAAACATTAAATTTTGGAAGTCACAAGCCAAAATCAAAGAGTAAATGACTCCCAAACTTCCATTATGGCATTAAAGGAAGTCCTGTGTAAACGTTGGGGATTTCGTCCTTACCCGCATGCGCAAAAACATTTACATAATACACCTATTTTAATACACCTATTTAAAAGTTTTCCACTAATACCACATGTGTACAGATTAGTGGGTGACCTGTTTAGTTATCAGAATTTTGACCTATAAAACTAATTAAATAATTTTATGGCTTGAATGGGTCAAATATCCTGCATTCTCGCACGCCATTACATGCGAAATTGTTGGGGGTACCGGGTATAGATACCAGCGTTCAGTCTACGCTCTATTTCCTGAATTACATCTATTTACCTCTGGGGAAAATTGTGGTTTCAACAATTAAAAATGTACAATAGGTCTGATACAATAACACTGTATAATTATCATGGATTGTTACTTATATTTTATGTTCTGTAACTACTTCTCTTCATACGAAATAATGAATAATTTCGGTACCCTACATCATGTACATGAGGTCTCATAACTAAGGGTTATTCTATGTTTGGCTCACAGGTAAGACTGGGCTTGCCCAACTGTGTTGCCTCATTAAATGAAGTCGTTTCTTACTAATAAAGTCATCGTTTAGAACATAATGAAATTTCCATAATTTGTATTTGTTTGTTTGTTTGGATTTTACGGCATGTCAAGACATAAATGGCCATATCGTGCCATAATTTGTGTGACGAGCCGAATATTGATGTGTAACAATCAATGTTTTGATGAGTGAGCGTTATAAAAAATAAATTTTAAGTAACTACCATATTTTTGTACAGGTACTGCTCGCATGCCAGTACTGGCATGCGAGCAGTTCCCGTACAAAAATCGTAGTTACTTAAACATTATTTTTTATTACGCTCACTCACCAAAATTTGAATGTTACACATCAATATTCGGCTCGTCACACAAATCATGGAAATTCCATCATGTTCTAAACATAGAATAACCCTTAGTTATGAGGCCTCATATGGGGTACGGAAATTATCCATTATTTTGTATGAATAGAAGTAGTTCCCGTACATAAAATTTAACCCATTATAATTATACAATTTTATTATATCGGACCTATTTTTCATTCATTATTGTTGAACAGACCATTTTCTAAGAGATAAATAGATGTAATTCAGGAAATAGAAAGTAGACTTAACGAGTGTATCTATTACCCGGTACCGTTACCCCCAACGCGTTCACATGCGATGGCATGCTTGTATGCATGATATTTTACGCATCAAAGCCATAAAATTATTTTATATAGTAATATTGGTCAAAATTCTGATAATTAAACAAGTTTTCATCACATTGCCTACTTAATTAATAACTTATCAGTAAACAGGTGGTATTAGTGGAAAACCCTTTAACATGCCTCACGTGTAAGTATTTTAGCACATGCGCGCAAGGACGGAATCCCCCAGATAAAAAAAGGTCACGTTTTGACAACGCACAGGTGAAAGTGATCTAAAATGAGACTTTTTATACGTACTGGCGAACTGACACTTGGATTTTGTCTCATTTATGTATCTGCTTGAATTGAAATGAATTTTTGAAGAATGCAAGTAAAAATCAAGCGTTTACATGAAAAATACGGGTACTGCTTCTGTAGGGGAACTGCTCGCATGCCAGTATGGAAAAATGTTAAAAAAGTGTCCAGTTGATGGCCCTTACCAGCAGGCCGACGGTGACACAGAAAGAAAAAAATATTAAACTAAAAAATACTTTCAAATTTAAACAGAAAAAAATCAGTCCTAGCTACCTGTAATATTTCAGATATATTTTCCATGTCTAAAAAATGACAGTTAAAATTCAAAATAGGTATTTAGGCATTACACTAACAGTTTCACAGTAGGAAAAGAAAGTTTGTGAATAAGTCTAGGCTAATCTGGCCTAACTAGTTGTCTCTGACCTTTGAAAATTTCCTTCAAGATTCAAGCTTGTCTAGAAAAAAAATTGGAAAAAGTGACTTCTATGGTCCATGGGTCACAATTGACAAAATACGGTAGTGTGAGTGTGAAAACGTTACAGACTATATAAAAGAATGTTTCAGTGTGAAAACGTTACAGACTATATAAAAGAATGTGCAGATCTACAAATTGATCAAATAGATCTAGAAAATTATATAATCTGATCAAAATTCGTCTCCTCTTTCCATTAACACTGGTTCTATAGTCTATAAGAAATATTAAAGCACTGTTAAAATGAAGCTCAAATCGTACATTTCCTTTCAAATTTGATGGTACTTTCGAGTGAACCAAATCCGCCATTTTTCCGTTCTCAATTAAAGCGAAAATTGCAGACCTTTATTTTCAGCATTTATTACCATGCAATCCCTACGAAACAATGCATGCATCGTCGCAATCGAGGTTACATTTTAGCAGTGACCATTATTTTTGCAAGGTACATAATTTTTATGCAATTCGGGCACAACGTTTGTCCCCCTTCTCAAGGGCACGTAATCAAACTACACGCCATCTTGAATCCTGCATAAATTTCGGTGCCGGTTATCGCCCATTTAATCATGGCAGCTCAAAGCTTCGCTCTCAAAAAATATTCATATACTTACTAATTTGAGAATTCCTGTTTTTTGAAACTTGGTGGAGTCGTAGATAAAGTATTTTTTCATGAATTTGCACACAATTCAAAATGTTAATTTATGTCGCCATTCCCTTTGTCGGTTTCAGTCCAGGCACGCCGGTTAATGATTACCCATCATGCAACGCGACACACGCAGGCGTGTTTATTTATGAATGGAAAAATATTGAGCGTGGGAAAATAGGAAATAGTAGAACTTCCCTTTAAAAAATAAAAATAAAGTATTTAAGTTATTTGCGTAAAACAATTAAAGATGCATCGATACTACGCTGATATATTTCTTTTAAAAATCAAAATAAACTGCCCTCGAGAAAAGTAACAAATGAACAAAAAAAAAGAACCAAAAAAAAAAAAAAAAAAAAAAAAAAAAAACAAACACGCAAACAAACATGCAACAACAAAAACACGAACATTGAACAGAGCTAGGGTTTTGGAAACAAACAAAAAAACAATCATTGTGTTGAGATGCAAAAAAAAAATATAAAAAGAATAAATAAATAAAAATTTAAAAAAAAATCTAATGATCTGAAGCGGGCAAAACATGCACGTGTTCCATCACTGTCCATATCTATAGGAAAAATATGGTGATACTGCATGTTATATTGACTTACAGTTTACCAAATAAGAAAGACCAGTTTCATTAAAATTTGATTTAATAATTCTCATAACATTTAGTATGAAAACTAAGCGACCTTTTTTAACGATATCAACAGAGATGATATCTATATGTCTCTGATGTTAACAACGCCATGAACGCGTAACCTGTGGTTCCAAATTAGCTTGGATGTGCATTATAATTGAAGTCAAGATTTGATAAAAAGAGACATTGTGCACCATGAATATGCAACAACAGTTTATTTAAATAAATTTAAATGACGCTTGCACATGTCTGTCCAACAATTTTAAGTTAAACTAATCACAACTTTTTTTTGCAGCAATGTGCCAGGTAGAATCGTCGACAGTGTTTTTTCTTAAAATCCACCTGAAAATGGAAATGAAGATGTGATACTAGGTCATTCATCAACAGAGCAATGAATATTGAAAAAAAAATGGATTTTCTTAACCCTTTCACCCTTACACATAGTTTGTTGCAACTAAATATGTATATGTATATAAATATGCTAGCCACACAATGGCACCGTCTGATCATAGTCTGCATTGTTCGCTATTCAGTAAATAGAGGCATTGAAAAAGATGAATGGTATTGTCCAGGTTTGAAGATGGACAAGTCTATTTATTTTTAGCGTAGTTAGTTAAAAAACGTTTAAAACCGCATATTTTTCTAGTATTTACATCCCGCGTACCCTCTGAGCACGGTATATACAGGTCCGGATCCACCGGGAGGCGGGGGGGGGGGAGTAGGTAAGGGGCTGAAGCCCCCAGACACCTTGCTCATTACAGTACCATGAATGACAAATTTAACCCTGATATTGGCTTGGGTGCTACACTTTTTTATTTTTAATTATACAGCAGCATAATGCTGAAGTTTTGAGCATTTGCCAACGATTATCGGTAGTTAACGATGCAGGTATTGCGCTCTAGACATCAGAATGGTCAACATAAGAGACAAAACTTTCAACGTTTAACGTACAATGACCTTAGAAAGAAATATATTAAGACATTTTACTACGTTAGACCTAGTATGTATAAATTCTTAGAATTATTAAATAGTGATAATAAGATTATTTTACGTAACCTTGCTTGTTAATTATATACGAGAAGCATTGGCTATGAGAATATCAGTTAAAGAATCGTTGAATTCACGGTTAATCCTCTGTGTAACATATAGCGTAGATAAATAAGTATTGATTGCTAATGTCTAACTTTAAATACAGATTACATTTTGCTTTGCTAATATTTTGATAAGATTTGTGTTAACGGAATTATAAATTAAGCAATAAAAACGTATGCTTTGCTAACATTTGACTATGATATTATTATGTAATGTGACTTATACTTAAATATATTTAATTGATTGTATTGTGTAAGACGATGTATTTTGTACAAGTCTGAAAATAAAGTTTCTGTCTGTTCTGTTCATTCTAATTATTTAATTATGAAAGAAACTTACATTAATTGTTAGTAAAAGCTCTTGATTGATCAACAACCACTGAACAAAGAAAACAATTATATTGAGCATTTTCTGGGCCCTCCGGGTTTGATGGTCGTCCGGTTTTGTTGGTCCTCAGCCATGCAGTACATGAAAAAAGACGGACGTGCACTTAACAGGAAAATTCTCTCCCATTTCTTTTAAATAAACTTTTAATGAATTGTCTCCTTATTTTTGTATGCCCGAAAAATTTTCGGGCATATTATGTTATACCCCTGGCGTCCGTCCGTCCGTCGCCTATCTGTCGGTCTGTACCAAACCAGAAGCTACATCTATGGGGTTTGGTCTATTGTCCTCATAACAATTAGATGTGTTTGTTGCAATTTT